GTTGACAACCTACGGTCTGTTATTGCACGCTATTTTTGCCTAATCTGAATGGTTCGTCTTGGAGACCAAAAAACACAATTCCAGCATCATCAGGTGCCCAGATTCCCTAAAAAATTAGAGGCAAAATTATTTGTTTTGGTTCAAGAAATATTCCGAAGTGAAAGTGAATAACAACAAGACATACACCGGCCAGAAGCTGTTCAAATAAGATCTGACCAAACTCACAAAGGATGGCGATATTCCAGGAGGAATTTGATCAAGCGCAGTGACTGCTCCGGAGAAAATATCGACAATACAGAGCACTGGCTGTTTTACATCACCACAAGATTCGCCCCATGATTCGTGAAGCTCGTACTTCTTCCCCTAAAAGGAGCAAATTTGTTATTTCTCATACCCCTGGTTGCACAACCGTGAAAAAAAGAAACACAGGTGCAGCGCTCAGTACGGTTCAGAGTCGCTGAAGGTACGACGCGTGCGGGGGGGGGGAAGAACCCGTTTTCATTCATTCCATGGCTAGACGACAGAACGTCCGCACCTGCAGCACTGTACTTCTACATCCACACTAAACAGTTCACTTTTACTCACCACTTTGCTTTCGATTATTTTTTCGTCATTATCCCACTCCAAATCCACATCGAAATATTGTGCCGCTTTGAAATTCCTCTCGGCACAATAGAGCAGATGTCCCTCACCACGAGAGAATCTCAGTGTACCGAAAGGAGCTGGAATCACCACGCATAAGCCAGCATGTATAAGCTCTGCGACTCAAGACGTAGCAAAAACATCAGAAAAAACTACACACCAAGCTTTGAGGAAGCTGATTTTGGATTTGCCGTGAACCTAGATAACACATACTAAATCACGCTTGCATTGGGAAATACAAAATTCTCCTAGCAATTGAATTTTCACCCATGCCCAGTACATTCCCACCATGGACCATGGGTGTTGCTGTTTTCAACCGGAAGATTGATTGTTGCGATGGGATCGAAAAGGTTTGAACACTTATCCACCTTCCCAGCCGATATTGCCTACCAAGAAAGCCTGGTATCAATTAATAATCGGAGGTAAACAGCTTGCTTGGCCAGGGTGAGATGTGATCAGGTATTCGACCGCTGAAAAATGCGCACAGTAAAAATGCGCACAGTAAGTGACGGTACTTGCAACCAGAGTGAACATCGCGTAGACGAAATGGTTGCAACATTAGGACCCCTTTAGAACGAATGTTTCGGGTGGGACCTAACCCTCCTCCCCTCCGCCCCTTCCTCCAACATCAATACGATCCTCCTCCCTGGATTGGGTAAAAAATGTGGTTGATCCCGCTTCTACGTGACACACTCCCAACACCCTTTACCATCATTTACCCACTGCCCTCATTCTCCATTTACAACCCCAGAATTCCAAATGCCGCCTTCTCTCTCAACGACCTCTCGTCAAGGAATTCTTGACCATGTTATACGTCCTATATGCCACTTCACCTATCATCACCCAAGGCAACCGTGGCGTATGGCCGATTCCAGAAAATTGCCTTTCCCCTGTTCAAAATGGAGTCACTTCCACTACTCTAACTCCATCCTCAAAAAGTACAACTCCAGCACTGGTAAACGGCAAAATTTCAACTACTTCTGGATTTCGATTTCGCGAAGAGAATTCGACCTCAAAAAATACCTATTCTCATATCTCGCAAAAACATGACTTCATATCTCGCAAAAACACGACTTCATTTCACTGCATACGACCTTCCTAACCACAATCACAAAACAGGAATCCCTGATCTGACCCCATCAGACAGACGATGATCCACTAAAGCCTCTGCTATCCACTGCTATTCATTCCCCATTTTCCGTAATTTACTTATTAAAGCCAGCCCAGGATCACGAGAATTCACCATAAAAACAACACTACTTGACAAATCAAAAAACTAGAAGTAAAAAAGAGGGACGGACAGAACAAGGCAGTGGATCGCAAAACATTGCAAAAATGCCGCTTTATGCTGACAGTTTCATTCAAAATACGTCAAGCATTCCCTCCGCAAAGCAGTCGTGGTATCTTTTTTGATGTGTATTTAGCATCAGAAACATTATTGAAAATGGAAGGGGAGGCGACAATCCAATGGCAAGCCAATCAGTGTTCTAAGGCTGGTGTCAGAGTCCGCGATCCGTCGCAGGTTTCGCTGATTTTCGCGATTTGCGCGATTCACGCGACGGGTCACGGAAATCACAAGTGCCCGATCAATACTGCAAGGTGTTCTCCAATCCTGCCGCCACTTCTGCTTGATAGTGATGGCTGAATGACGACTGCTCATGATTCCACTTGTTTCATATTCAGTGTTTCAAATGTTCAAATGGGGCACTTGCAATTTTTGCGATCCGTCGCAGGTTTCGCGCAAATCGCGAAAATCAGCGAAACCTGCGACGGATCGCGGACTCTGACACCTGCCTAATGTTTCAACACGCGGGCGGCAAGATGAGATTCGATCCGGACCTTGTTCCTTGGATCATGGGCGCGATAGGTTGGAACTGCCACTTCCTCAGCTTTGCTCAAGCATAACAAAGGCACTACAAGAGCAAAAGAAAAAGTGACAAGTGTGTAGAGTGCAGCAATACGCGGTAACTACACGAGGAGACAGTTGTTCAAGGAGAAGCATGTGCCAGAGAAAGTGTTAGAGCCGTTATTTCCTTAGCAGAAAAAAGGAAGAGATGAGAAAATTTTATTCATCATCTCAAATTTATATCATCATCAACAATGGACTAAAGAGATTCGCAGTTAAGCAAGATGACGTGAGCGTAACGGAAAACGAACCTGCGCCCATTCCATATATGAGTCCATGCTTCTTTTGTCCACTGAGATCAGAACACAAAACTTCAATATGCTCGGTTTGATCGAAAACCTGACAAAAATTCCTATAACAATACACGGAGGGCGTAAGCTTCGAATTTTTAAAAAGAAGTAAAAAACAAAAAAAATCAAGCATGACACCAGAATGAACGATCAAATATACCCTGAGATACTGCTTCTTTTCTTTTCCATCAGGTATGGTAATAAGCTGCGCTACCAAAGAATTGCTCGGTGAGTATGCAAGTGATTGGGACCTTCAAAAGTCATCTTCTTCACGATTACCTTAGCAAAAATGAAGAATCCATAAAAATACTAACTCAAAATTCGTTAAAGGCATAGAATTTGTCGAGATTAAGCGCAGCTCTCCAGTAGCATTTATTTTTTCGACAACTGAAGATCTCTGAGTTTTGGTGCTTTTGTTGAGTGAAATTGCGTGATTATCCCATACAGATGAAACCTAAATTGGAGACCAATTAATTCTTTTCGGCGCTAAATTTAAGTAAATGACTAGTCTGACCTGTATAAACTTTCCATTTCTATGGATACGCCCTGCGGAAAGTGTTGGTACCTGTGCAAGATCACCGTAAATATCCTTTAGTTTCTCTAATGCACGGACATCAAGCTCGGCAGCGGTAGCTGAGCTCATGGTTCTATATAAAAGAGAAGATCTGGCGGCAAGAATGACGACGCGTTGCAACACCTGAAATAGCAGAAATTCCAAACATGATTCTCAGTGTATAGGAGGTCATAGAAGAATCACCCAAAATAAGTATTGAAAAGTGCACAATGACTAAAGGACATGAAGGTCTGTGAGAATGAAAAAAAAACAGGGAGAAACCAAATTCTGTTTAGCATGAACACAATTCAAAGCGATGAGCTAGTTCTCCAAATCCATCAAATCATATTTCAAGATGAAATGCAAAGGGTAGGATTCACCGTATTCGATCGTAGTACCGGCTTCATGAGGCTCTTTTTAGTACTCACAGTCACTCAGCGAATCCTCAAATCACCGCAGAAGTAAGCAAACCAGCCCTTTTGGCGTTTCGGCTGGGACCGTATGCTGAATGTTGGGGAGGGGATGGGGTCCCCAACGGTCGACGGTTTACTTCAACTCGGTTGGTACGATAGGAGAGTACTGACGCAAGTGGTGCAGCTGGTCCAGCAGCTCCGCCAGAAGGGCTGGTTTGCTCACCCCAGGACTAAGCCTTGGAGAGGGGACGGACCGTCCTCTCTTTAAGGCTTAGTTCTGAGGTAAGCACCAAATTGTGGCGGTTCTAAGGACCGAGTTGAAGTGGTCCGTCCACCGTCGGGGACTCCATCCCCTCCCCAACATTCAGCATACGGTCCCAGCCGAAGCGCCAAAAGGGCTGGTTTGCTTACGTCGACCCGCCACCGCACCCTATCTGATGCCCAAAGGAGAGAAGTGATAATAACGTTTGTATATATACTATGGGACCGTTAGGTCATATAGAGAAAAAGATAAATCCTTACAATGTAAAATCAGACATAATCTTATGCATATCTTCAGTTCACGCAGAAGACTAGCTCCCACCCCTAACATTTCGCCATCTCCACCTCAAGAGGGACGACATCACTGAACTTGGGCGCTGGCATTCAAAATTGATGTGGTTGTATTATGATATTGTTCTCACGCTACCTGGAGGAGTTTTGTCTAAATAGCTGTAGGAATTTTCTAAAAGGAGAACCTTCATCTCATAACTGAACAAATTGGGCGACAACACATGGGCGAAGCGCTTTGCTTCTCAACAGAACGCTCCTTCTTCTCTAGCAAGCCGTATGGCTCCAAATAAAAATTGAAGAGCACATCACTATACTAGACAGCTTTAATAACTGTCTAGACATGCACTTTTGAGAATGCCACGAAACATGGCCCAATATTCAAGCACAACGATATCCTCGACGTATGGAGAGCCGTTACGAGAGTTTGAAATGCTGTCGGGGAGGAATCTTGCATAGTCAGAACTACAGCCTTTGAGAAACTGCCACAACTGAACCTATTGAAGAGGTACTTAAGCTGCTTCAGACTGGGGAAACTATTGTAGGCCACCTTGAACTCGACAGCGACGTAACTCTTCGTATTGTGAAGGCGATGAGGGCAGTCATCTTATTAACTCCAGCTGCCTTTCGAAGACGCGACACATGATTAGATCCTTACAAGAATCCTCTCCTAGTAAGGTAGCAGGACGCCATTCACGGGGAGTGGTGGTGCTGCCGCAACCGGAAAGTGCGCGTTGAGGGAGCTAATGCCTTCGCTTGACCGCTAAGAGATCTCATCAAGCGCATTCATGGCGTCTACGCCCTCTCATGTGAGCCGTATCTCTCGCGTGTTCCCTCTTTTCGCACTCCTTGCCCAATTTTCGAACTAAACAACACCACGTTGATCACGACTCGTGCCTTGAGATCCGAAATATGACCTGCTACCGAAATTCCACACATGTCAATCCCCACTGGCAATTTGTTCCAATTTTTTAAATTTACTTTCCACTTAAAATCAGAAAACGCACAAAAAAACTGGAAGCCTGCAACAACTTTGAAATCTTACATGCATATATTAAGTGATTCTCAGCTCAGAGTCCAGACACAATACTCGCCCCATCATCACAGACAACATCGACATCAAATTCAAAGATGCAAACCACTTATTGGTGGAAAACAGGACTAATCCATAGCCTCTTGTCCATACTGCTTTTACAACGCGCACGCGTTTGCCTTTCTCTGTTCTCCCCGCACACTTAACATAGACAATACCTGCGCTAGTAGAAGGCACCCCCTCACCCCGACTGTGATCGCAGCCTTATACGCTGTCAACTGCCACCTGCTAACGATCATGTCAAATGATCTCAGAGAAAGAAAAGCACAACGACATATATAAGTCTTATAGCAAAATGTTTGCTGGAGTGCTGCCAGAAACCAGAATATGTCCAACATTTGAGTTGAAATTTGTTTTCTGCTTACATTCTATAGTACTATACACTCATCATCACCCCGCAGAACGGAAAGACTGCAGACAACTTTGGATTAAAACATATATGCAAAAACATAGCCACTACGTTGACATTACGAAAAAAATTTGACACATCAAGTAGAGACAGGCTGTATTTGACAATGTTTGAAATAATTACTGACAGAACTGTCCGTTAAAAGTAACAATAACAACGGAATTGTTAACTAGTATAT